TTCTTCCCCAGAATATCTGTAGCTCTTTTGCTGCTTCAGTTCAGTGTTCAAGAAAATGTTTTGGCATGCTGCTTCCTCCCCTCAGGTGATGGGGCCCAGGGAGCACAAGCAAGGAGTTGGAAATGAAGAATGTGAGGGAGACCTGGTCCACAGAGGAGCAGAACTGATCATGCACTGATGCCCAGCTCTGTTCATGGCATTTCGGGCTGAGCCCGGGGAGAGCACCTCTCTGCTTTGTGACCCTGGCTGTAACCAGACACTGACCCTTTGAGCCATGAACTTCTCTGACCCAGCTGTGGAGACAAGTCCTGTCCATCAGATGGGACAGGGGCCTTTCCCCAGAGCAGTGGGAAGGCACAGGCTGCTGCCCTGGCTCTGACACTGCAGCAAGGATGTGGGTCACAGAGTTTTTCTGGGGTTTTTTTTGCGAAGATGTTTCACAGTGAACCACCTGTATTATTACAATGGGGAACATGGGATATGAAATGCCTTTTCCTTCTGAACACTCATTCTGTAAGTACCTGCTCCTCTCCCCGTCCCCAGGGAGCATGCCAGGGCTGGTGTGCAGTGCTTGGGAGCTGCACACCCGCAGACAGGAGTTCCCACCACACCCCTGCGGGTACCAGCACCTCTCAGGGAGGCTTAATTTGTTCCTTTGTTCAACTGGTAAGAGTAAACTGGTGTCCAGCAGCACACAATGAGTTACTCCTGATCAGATTACCAAAGAACCGTCCCAGCTGGGGCATCCCATCACACCTGTGTTGTCCGATTGATGCGATAAGGAACTGCTGATAAGCCTTCCACTGAAGGGCTCTCAGGGAACCCCGAGCATTCCTTGATCTTTCTTTACACTTCAGCACTATGCGGAAACCTTTTGTTTTTGCAGTGAGAAGAGAAAACAGGTAATTATACTCCCAGTGGCAAGCAAGTGCAGGACACAGCAATGGAAGCCTGCTGCGTACTGAAGCAGGCAAAATACATCTGACTAAAAACAATTAATTACGTAGCTCTGGATAACTTAAGTTCTTTTTTTCACTTCTATAAAGAGGGAGAAGCCCCCAGGCTGTGCACTAGGCAGAAAGAAAGCAAAGCGTGTTGACAGGCAGATCGCTATCAGGCTGGCAGCTCCTGGGATGCTTCAGGGATGCGGCTCGCATGGGGCTGCAGCCTGGGTCTGAAACTGCGCCCGGACGCGGCTTCTGCCTGGTTCTGTATCAGCTGGTCCGAACAGAAACTGGAAGCGATGTCCCAGTTGTGGTTCATCTGCCTGGCTTCCAGCGGCTCCGGGCTGCTGCTCTCGGGCAGCAAAGAGCCCGCGGCTGCCCCAGCCCGCTGCGGAGGCTCTGTGTGTGTTACCGAGACCACGTCCCGTTCCTGAACAGACTCTCTTCTCACTGCTACGCTGACAGGCAGCTTGCAAAACACTGACAAATGAACATGTTAGGCAAGTGTGGAATGAACGGTTTTGACAAGGACTGAGTAGCAGTGAGGGTCTGTGTGCTGCAGTGCTGGCAAGGACCGCAGCCAACGCCACTGGAGTGGGACCCACCCCAATTTTTAATTATTGCCGTGATGCAACCCGCAGCTCCCAGGACTGCAGCTCGTCACAGGGAGGACCAACTGCCTTGAGCCCGGTAAGCTGACAGCTGAACTCCGTTTCTGTGAGACTAATGCATTTTTAATGACTAATGGCTAATAATAAATCAATAGTGCCATAAAAAAAAACCCTAATAAATAATTAGTTTTTAATTAATAGATAAGTTATGAATAATAAAGTACTAATTTTAATTATATTTGTAGCAAAAAAGCCAGTTTCTTCACTTCCTTAATTTCTGAAACTTTTCAAATGAAAGCCTTTCAAATACAGAAGATTCCTCTAAGACAACTAGAACATGCATGAAAAAGAACAGGCTTTTGAAATCTAATCTTCTCCTGCTTAAAATAAAGGTAGTGCTGGGCTGTTGACAGTAGGTCTCTGAAGACTTTCAATATACTTTTTATTCTGTGAGTCTGGCACCACATAGGAAATTAATTCAGTGACAATATTTTCATTAGATTATTACCCAAGTTCTCAATCTTAGACACATTTGTATGCTTGTAATACATTCTAATTACTTGTAAAGAATAAGTCACTGTGCTGGTTGGCTTATTGAATATATTAAATTAATGAATAAATAAATTTGTCTCCATGCTTGGAACACATGGCGATGATGTCAAAAGCTTTTTGACATCAAAGCTTGCTGCAGAAGAAACCAGAAATGCACTTGGTTGTGGTTTTGATAAACAATGTGATTTGTATTGTAGGTGGACTTTTATGTCCCTCACAAGAGTGGTGAGTGAAAAAAGCATCTTTTATCCCCAAAACAACAGAAATAAACTATGTGAAGAGACTGCTAGTATTTTCTTTTTTACTTTTTTTTTTTTTTTAATGATGGTTCCTTATTGACTTGGTCATGAGAATTGCTCTTGCTGGCTCAGCTCAGCACCTCAAATTGTTTCCCTAGGATGGAGCTCTCAGGAGCACTCTAGGGCTTTCACATGTTTTCAAGTTATGCGTGTAGGAAGGAAATAGCATATACATGAATGAAAACAGTGATACTAGAAAAACATTTAAGATTTTAGTATCATGTAGTGTCTGCCCATGTTGTGGAGTTTTCTGTTTATCTTGTCAAATTTCAGTAGGGAAAAAAAAGTTATTTTTAGCATGGAACAAAGTCATCAAAAGTGTGACTTCTTCTCAGAAGATAGGAACTTCAATATTTTTAAGAGAGCTATTGAGCTGCCATGGTAGAAAGGTAGAAAACAGATTCTCTGTTTTCTTAGTGCAGAACTGCAAGGGGCTCATCTTGCCCCCTGCTTTGTGGTTTGTTCATCAACTTGTTTACATACTGAATTTTCTTTCCCTGGAATGATTTTCCTCTCTGGTCCATAAGAGAAAAAAGAGCAGGTTATGACATGCAAGGAAGCCAACCTGGTATTCTGGAGTCAGCCTTGTTCCCTGTAACTCCTTCCTCTGGACTGCTTGGGTTTGCAGCTAAAGGCTTCTCATGTCTCAGAACAATTGCATCCCTTGCAAGTGTCAAATTTTCTGATCAATGTCTTCCAAAATCCAGAACACAGCAGGTTCAGATCTTTTCCTGACAGCAGGATCCCTTGACACTAGGAACTATGTCTCCAGAGGAGCTTAGCGAGGACATGGGGCAGAACACAAGGGATGCTATCTCTTAGTGAAAATGCAGGTGAGATTGAAGAGGTCAGAGAAGATAGATTCCTGATGCTGGAAGGCTGCTTTTTCAGGCAAGGGACTCGGTGGCAAAGCTGGAGCAAAGAAAGGAAAATTTATCTTCCAGCCTGAAATCAGAGTCCGTGGAACTCTTCCAGTTGAAATCAGAGTCCGTGGAATAAGACAATGCAGTCTTCAGTGCTGTTCAAGCTGCAGTGCTTCATCAGAGAACTGTTCACCCATGTGAAAACACGTAACCCTGTCAAGCTGCCAACTGAAACTTCGGGTGATCGGCTGCGTAAGCGCTGGTAGCACAGGATAGAGCTGCCTTTGGCTACTTTCAATTACACACCCAATTCTTTTAAGACTTCTGAATATTTGGGAAGGCAGAATATGCAGAACTTGTTTGTTTACATCAGATTGTGCTGTGTTTTCAGGTTTCTTAACTGCTTTTGGAACATGTGAGCACAGCCTAGCCCTTCCCCTTCCACATACCTGGCGGCTTTGTCAATGCAGCAAAGGAATCTTCCCCAGGAGTAAGCGGCTGTGTCAGACTGATATTGTGCAGGGTTTCATAATTTCAGCCAAGCGGGAGCTGGAGCAGAGACAGGCACTAAGGAGCTGATGCTCTGCAAAGCAAACAGTTGGTGCTGGTGCTGCTGTGATGATTCAGGCGGCCGCAGGGCTCTGCTGAGCTTGGGCTGGGCGAGGAAGGTGGCAACCACTGCCACATCTCAGCCTTTCATCTTGTAGCTACTGCTGGAAATGTGGCCAGGCTCTACTGGACTTGGTGTTGGGCAGAGCAGATGGGAAGTGCAGTCAGTTTCTCTCTGCCCTTTTGAGCCAGGTCAGCCACCCAGAGCTGGCAAAGCACACAGCTGTCCCCGGGCACTGAGCCTCCCCAAAGGCTTGGCAACCTGGCACCCTGCAGACAGCACCAGGGAAGCTTGGCAGGAAGCTCTAAGCATTGCATCTTCTTCAGAACTGAAACGTTTTCTCGTGGCTTGGGCTGCTCTCAGGATGGCCTGTCTGTGCACGTAGCTTTTTTCCACAGGTGATTGCAAGTGAGGTTTTTTGTATGAGGAACTCGCTGAAGTTGACAGCTTAGTTATTTTGAATTTATATACAGCTCTCTGTTCAGCACCAGGGTGGTGTTCAGCCTGCCTTAATTAGCCCAAATTATCGTAGCTACAAAAAGCAGGAATTGGTTCTCATGGTACCTTGCTTATCTCTACATAGAGCTACTGCAAAGACATGCCCCTGAAGGCATCACAGTAAATTTCTGAACCTTAATTCACACATTCAAACTGTTATTCCAACTTCCACACCAGATCTATCACTGCATTTAGTAATTTTCAGCTTCTAATAAAGAACATTCTACCTTTCTTTTCTAATCTTCTAAAAACACGTAGCAGCAGTCAGCTGTGAGAAGGAGTACCCTGAAGAGCCAAGATGCCACAACCTCCGTCTAGATGACCAGGACTTCACAGCTCAGAGCTGACTTGCCCTATGACAAATCCACCCAGTCCTTGCTTTGTGCCGGTGCTGCCTTTCCCTACATTATTCTACTCACCCACTCCCAAAGGAGCCATGCCATGGGGGCAAGGAAGGCAGGATGGCTCCAGCTCACACTGCTAATGAAGCTATGCCTCAATTAGCTGTCAGAGGAGAGTGAGTCCTAGAGAATTGGAGCTGGTATCTGCAAGCCAGGAATATTTGTGTTTCTATACCAAAAGTAACAATTACAGCACAAGAAGAAAAACAAACCTCTACAGAATAAGGCAATAAACCCCAACAGGTAGTATTTTATTAATCATCATTACTTTGCTTTGTCAAACTTGATAACACTGAAGAAAAAAGGACTTTTTTATTGTAGTGAAAAATCTAACAGACTGGAAAGGAAAGCTAACTTTCTGACCACTGAGAAAAAAAGTCTGAAATTATTCGTTTTGAACCAAATGCACATATGAGTGATTAAAGATTTTATAAATGAAAATACAATGGTAACATTACTATTTCAATACAACTGAAAAGTAAATGCAAAGTTTACTTGACATGGCATTTCTATGCAAATATTATTTTATTTCATATTTCTGGATTAAAATTAAGAATATCTGAATAAGACCTATGTTTTCTTCAAAGTGCTCTTGCAAAACTTTATTATATTCCAGGTACCTGTTCTGATTTTCCTATAAATATAGGTTGGCATGTTTTATGTTTCTGAACCCAGAATGGGTGTGGCATGAATAAGATCTTATATATGTGAAAATTCAAAGGTGTTTGTGGCTTTTCTTTCCCAGTGTTGCAGGAGAATCAAATAGTCATTCCTTGCATACTTCAGGCTTCTCATCATTTACCTTTCTGACTTGTTATAGCTGCAAAGAGCATGAAAAATGAAGCATGAAGGAAAGCACAAGATTATGTTAAATGATGAGCATCATCCCTGAGGTAGGCAGATTTCACAGATATATCCTGTGTGACAGCAGCAGGCTGAGGAGAACCTGATTTTGAATCGTACAGAGTGCAGAGCATTGTGAGTCGAGGATACATTCTGCAGTCAACAAAATCCAGTGAGATAAAATAGATGCTCAGTGTACACGTATGTCCATGGAGTGTGAAGAGGCTCTCCAGGTGAGGCATGCTTGGACAAGGTGCCCCGTGTGCTCCACCTGTAAGCACAATGCTGCTGGCCTGGCCACTGCCATTTCAACCAGGAAATGCCCATGGGGGAGGAAAAGCTGGCACTCACAGAGTCCAGGCAGCAGTAAGGAGAGAATCTGCAGTGTCCCACTGGGAAAAATGTCCCTCTCTATTTGCTGGAGTCCCATGCAACGTGGCAAGAAGTGCTCCTCACAGACTGGCTTTGACATGGCAAATACCAACACAGCCACTGCTCTTGGCAGCCTTTCAGAGCAGGACTTTCACAAGGATTAACTGTTCTGAACAATTTCTCCAATATATAAGGTACAAATATTCTTTTCTTCCAATCAGTCATGCAGGCCTTCCTTGTACAAACACTGTGGCCAGCAAAGGAAAAATCTTGCCCTCCAGTTATGCAAAATGCCTTCAGTGCTCCTGTGGCCAGTTCATGGGCATTGATGGAGAGCAGGACGATGTTCCTCAGGGCACAGGGTCTCTCCAGCGCTTTGTCCCTGCACACCTACTTTCGGGAAGAAAACCCGTACCAGAGATCTTGTCCTTCTCTAAGGAACCAGCAACCAGAACTCAACAAGTCCCAGTTCACAACCCATGTTGGTGATGCTCTGTGATGTTCCTTGTCTCTGTTAAAGATACTCCTGTTGTCACCTGTAGACGCAAGTGAAGGATGTGGCAGCTCCTAGACCCCCAGTCTGGTCTGGAACAGGGGTTCACAGGTGTCATAATTTCTACTGTGGGAGTGTTTAAGTTTTAACAACACCTTGATTTTGCATCAGACTTTAATCCCCTGGCTTGTGCTTCACAGACTGTACATAGATATCACATATGCACCAGGTTCCATCAGAGATTTTTATGAATAGCTGCCATCACAAACCGATACAAATATCTAAATTTTTCTTTTATTTTGATTTCATGTTGATGTGGCTATCAAAGCTCTACCACATCAAAGCAAACGTTGTCTGTTATGATCAAAGTCCATAGAATTTCTAGTGTAATCACCATCCAAAACCTGAAAGAAACATTATGGGAAGGATTAGTTTGGTTTCAGACAACTGAATTAGAAACAAAATTCCCATTGATATTCAGTAGCATTTTGGCAGGTAGGTCCTAGAAGCCCTCTGGAAACCTGGACCAGGCCAGTGGGTGATGCACCATTTCAGCACTGTGCTCAGTAATTTTATCCTCAAACAATTTTAGTTAGAGGCACTCCCAACATCTATCTCACAAATTACTGGTGGAGTCACATCCCCTGCAGCACTGCTAGGATATTGTATCATGCATCTTTTTTAGCTTATGACTGGAAAAGATAAGATCTGAAAAGAATTTGGTGGTGAGGTAGGTGATGAAATTCTGCTGCTGTGTTTGAATACATCAGGCAGGAGTTGTTTTGAGTCCTGAATATGTATTTGATTTCCACAGGCTTCCAGGTGAGCATCTTTTGCAGAGGGAGTACAAGCACTGATATGCAGATAGAACACAATAACTATCAATAATCCAATGACACCTGAAAAATCAGGGAATACATTATTCCGTAATAGTAGATGAACTAAGACCCATTCATTTCTTTAACATTAGATGCCTGTGTTGTCTCAAGCCTGGTTCATATGCATAGGTAAATACAAGTTAAATAATCTCTTTCAGGATGCTTATCAGCCTCTGCTGCTCTTTGCACTGAAGGCGTAATAACAGTCATAAGAGCAGGGACAAGGGCAAGGACACCACTGCAGTTTTGACCTTTTTCCAGCTCCTTGGTGGTGATCTGGCAGGGGCATATCTTTATTTAACCTACACCACTGGGCATTGTTCCTTCGGTGTTTAGTGCAGGTATGAACACAGGCAGTTGCTTAGATGGATATGCAGAATAAATGCACTTTAGTCGTCACATATGATAAATTGTGGGAAAAGCAGCCAGCTCCTGTGATGTTCTTGGTAGCAGTAGCTTTATGGAAATGAGGACACAAGGCAGTGATTTTCTGTAAGGCCCACTAGGTAAATTCTGGGAAGCAGGTAACCAGGTTAGGTCCTAATGAGACAAGCATAGATTGCACAGGTTGTGCTATGTCTTGCTGAGGCACAAGTGGGTAGTAGCAAGTGGACATGCTGGGATCTGCTTGCTGACTCCCAAGCTGCGAGAAAGGTAACCACAAAAACACAGAGAGTGGAAAAAATGATTCTATGCTTTTAGGGCACTTACATCAAACACATTGGGAAAGCAAAGTTCCAACACAGGAAAACAGACAGCAGCACTACTCTCTGATCACTATTTTCTGATGGCTTGTCTGCTTGCAGGTTAGTCAGACCTGCCTGTTCACTCCTGCATTGAGTGCAATCTGCCAGAGGAGCTGCCAAATTATCCTGACACCTTACAGCAGGCAGCCTGTCACCTGAACATGAAACAGGCTTTGCTTTGTGGAGAGGATCCCATTTGCAGAGCCCTTGTGGTGAGGCAGCACAGCTACTGTGACAGCCTCCTGCTGCACCACCCCTGTGCTGAGGTGGGATGTGAGGCTCGCAGCTGAAATGCACCTTTCTCATCCCTTTTATGTCATTATGTATCTGTATTTCTAGGCAGGAGCATTTTCCCTTCTTCCATTTTACCTTACAATAAAGCAGAGCAAACAAAGAGGTATCAAGCCCCTGAACATTCAAGGGGGAGAATACACACGTATTCTCGGGCTGTCCAAGCTATAGACCCAACATGGTGTGACACAGCAGACGCAGCTTCCCCATTGTCCGGGTGACCCCAGCTGAGCCGGGAGGAATGGCCCAGGGCGGGGGAGAGAAGGATCAGCTGTGGGCCTGATCCCAGCTGCACCAACCAGCTTTGTGACAGGCAATAAAGGGCCAAAGAAAAGACTTTTGTCCTTGATTGCGAGAGCGACCAACCTCCTCTCATTGGCAGGGATGACAATTAACCGCAGAGGATTCGTTCATTGTCTGGCACTCGAGATCTCCCAGCAGTTGTCCACTCTAGCATGCTCAAATAATGGGCAGTACCTTGGTTTTGTCAATGGCTGAGTCGGCTTTGTGTGCCTGTGCCAGACTGTCAGCCTGGAGGAGCTGCTTGGCTGTGGCAGAGAGATCTCACTGAGATACGGCTGTGGGAGAGAAAATGTATGGCAAACATTGCCAGGCCAGGCTGAAGAGTGAAGTGAGGTCTCCTCCAGTGAACCTGGAATAAACAAACAGTGCTGGGCTGACAAGCATTTCACGAGGGCTCCATCACCCCATGTATAAAATCCTTTCTGAGAGGACATGCCAAGTAGGCTCCTTATGCTGAGACCTCTAGCTTGGAGTGACTGTTATGGAAGAACTCTTGACCCCTGGAAAACGGCATAACATGAGAGCAAAAAAACAACACCATGGCAGCCCTCCCTGCACTTTCCTGTAGGAGCAAGAACTTCCACTGCTCAGCTGGGGAAGAATGAATCCCATTCAGGGAGGGAAGCTGGGTCTATTGAGGCTGCCACCAGACACCTCTTCCTGATGCTAATCCTATTCTTCTGCTGCGGATCAAGTAATTCTTGTGTGAGCATTTTTCATGGGCTAAAGAAAAAAGATATTTAACCACAACAAACCCGCTGCCAGCAAATGTCAATCTTAGCTTCTGGGGTCTAAATTATAAGCACTAGCTACCAATTTCTGGCTGTCATTTTTACTGCAGAGGTACCTCACACATTGATATGGATATCCTGGCAGTGCCAGTGCTTTGCCATCCTCCTGAAAGCAAGCATGTCCTGAAAGAAAGTAGTCCTCCAAGACACAAGAGAAACTTTATCAGGCTTAGTGCTAGAAGGCACTGACAGCTATGTTTTAAATAATCTCTAGCAATACTTGTTTGGGAGTGCAGGAAAATTCTCCTAGCAGAGAAATGCCTTCACTTATTTGAAGAGTAGAGAAGTACTCAGAGGATTTAAGCCTTGTTTGTCACCAGTCTGCCCTCCTCCAAGCACTTAAAAACCCTCCTCCACATTCAGGCGACTCAGTCATTCTAGCAGAGGCTGGAGGAGGGGCAGGGTCCTCACAGCATCCTGGTAAAACAGTGCAGAAAGTCAAGAGTGCCCCAAATCATTATGAAGCAATGTCCTGAAATACATTTTCAAAAATCTCATTGCAACACTTTCAGCAAACCAAATGGTTTATGTTTTGTTATTCAGTTTTCCTGAATGAATGATAGCAAAAACTGTCTGAGCCATGAAGCTGATCTTCCACAGTGGTAGACAAGGGCCCTAAATGTGGATTTATTGCCCTTTTATTGCCCTGATATCAACCCCTAGGTTCCCACACCCTGCCAGGGAGTCCCCATGCTCAGCCTCAGAAAACAGGAGACTTGTCATTCTCTGAGGTGCTCGACCTTGACCAGTGCAGCCCACCAGCTTCCACCCATGGCTGTTAAAGGAGAAGGACACGTTTCAGCAGCTCTCCCCAGGGGCAGGGCATCTGAGCAGCTTTGGCCCTTTGCAAGCGCCCCAGTGACCCCCACCAGGTGAGTTCCCTGTGTGGTCATTGCCAGTCTGATGGAGCCACTGCTGTGGTTCATTCTCAGCATGCTCCTCTGGCACTCAGCTGCCCCACATGCCCCACATCTTTTAAGTCTTGCAGCATATAGTTAGTGTTGATGATGACAATTGGCAGCTGTATCATTTTACACCAGGCTGTCATCTTCTCTCATAGATATTTGTAAATATTTCCATACCTACCAAGGCATCTTCATTTTACCACCATTATCAGCCAGATAATGTCACCATTATGAAATTCAGCCAGAGGAATTGATACCTACATGTACACTTGTGACTTCTTCTGAGTCCGGGTATAAGGTGCACTTGAAAATCCAAGAAATGAAGTGGCTTCCTATAGATTTCCTTTGCTGAAATCCATCTTCTGTTCTCATAGCTATTCCTTCTTCATTGCTCAGCTGGTGCAAGATTCATGTAGAAATTTCTGCTGTGTCCCGGGGTGTGTGGGCTTCCTTTCTCCAGCTGCCCTTCAGCAAGCCCAAAAAATGCTGGTCAGCAAAGCTGGCATGTAAACTTAATATTCAAATAATGAAAGAGAAGAAGGAAAAATGAACCCTATTTTGCTTTTAGCCATGGTAGATATTTAGTAACCATATGCTACTCGCTTAGCACTACATTAAATTTTGTTATTGCCCTTTTCATTGCACTTTTTAGGACATAGCTGGAACCTGGAGGCCAGAACAATATCAAGAAGGACAGTTAGATACATTCCCACAGGTTGCTTCAGCATGGGAAGGTGCTGCTTTGTAATCGTAGCAGCTGGAAACACCAAAATTTGAACTATGGTAGGGAGAATAATGTGGCAGTTAACATGCATAAAGTATAAAGTTTTATAAAGCCTTCAATGTATGTGCCTTTTTGGAATTTACAATAATTTAAGGTGCTTATTATTCCTTCAGGCATGGAACTCATAAATATTACTCAGTGCTATTTGTCATTGGCTTTTCTGTCATGCATAAAGCAAAATTAAATACTTATCTCTATATCGTTAACGTATTAAACATTAGGATTTATGGGGTTTGAGATTTTACTTGCTCTGAGAACATTAGCTTCCTGGTGAAAGATCTAAATGCAAATAGAAGGAATGCCAAAATACCCTGGAACATAATTAAGGATACTGAGGTGTGAAGAAGCCCCAGGCAGAGGAATGTGCAGTTTTCTTATTTCCACTGTCATGGTGGGCTAATTTTCTTTGTTCTACATTTTTACACATTGCCCCAATATGCCACCTTGTTTCTTTCTCAGGAGGTGAAGAACATGTTAGTTCATTCTTATATAGATCAACAGTTAAAGAGTGTTGCTGGTTTAAAACATATCCTTGCTACCTGTACTGGGCAACAACAATTCTGAAGTGTCTAGACTTCAAAAAAAACCCACTGATCATTCTTTCCATGGGAAATAAAAATTCTCTTGGTAGCTTTACTTGATTACTTGCTTTTGTTGCTACCCAGGGTTCCTGCAAACAGGAATTGAAAGGAACAACTTTTAAACAAATGAATATTTCTGCTGCAGAAAATATATACTTTCTGTGCTGGTGTACATGTGTAACTAAATCTACATCCTATTTTGTCCACACCATTCAGAATGATCTACCACACTTGTTGTCCTCTTCACAAGATGCCAAGCTATGTCCCAGCAGCAATCTTGGCAGCCACTCCAAACAGAGAGATGGAGCTGGCTGGTTCTGTAACATACTGTATCTCACCCCAAAGGACTAAGGTATTTTATTCAGAAGACATTTTCTGCTCTACCTTGTTCTAGTAGATTTAAATCTCCTTAGCGATACACTTGACACTTCGCTTATGAAACTTTCTCACAGCCTTGCAGATCTCACTGCCAGCCCAAGCTTTGCCATTATTCATTCATTCTATCATTCCATCAGGAATGATAGAATCATTCCATTTATGATCCTGAGGAACTCCTCTCCCATTTATAAGTCTGCTATAACATCTTACCTTTTAAGCCAACCAATGTCTGCCACATTTTTCATCTCACTATTGGCCTATTTTTATTATATTTTGAGTCTTGCTAATATTTGTGACTATTTCTATTTAAGTACACATAAGTAATTGTATTAATCACTCTATAAAAAACCCACAAGTTAATGAGTTCAATCTTCACACTAACAGTTGAAAAATCCAAGCTGACACTCCCCAGTGCTAATGAGAAGCAGAGAACACTGAGGGGGGTTCCAGTGCCACGATTCACCCATCGTACTGCTTTGTCTCATGCTGTGTGGTTGGGTCCACCTCTGTTCATCTGCGTTTACCTGTCCATGCTCCAGTCAGAGAGCACCAGGTGGCTTTTACTAACACATGCTAGGTACTGGAGTTACATCTTGCTGTTTGTACACCAGCTTCATCCCAATACACCAATCGGAAAAAGAGGGAAGACACTGTACCTTGCTTCCCCTCAAGGAAACTGGGAGGGAGGCCTTGCATCATTCTTGGTAAGATAAACACTGTGATAGATTTGCTACATCAGTGCAGCAGAGGATTAGCAAAACTTTGTGCTGTCCTCCATGAATGAGCTACCATCTAGCATTCAGTACTCAGCAGCTGGGGGAGCTTCTCTTTGTCTTGATAAAAGTGCCTTTCACAGGTGGCAGGAACTGATTTAATCAGACTGTTGGAGGGAGCTCAAAAAATTTTCTCATGTACAGATCAAAGTACACTAGCACTATCTTCAGAGTAGTGACGGTTGTCACACAAATAATCTCCCAGCTTTCTCCAGGTCACTGCTGCATTTGTGTCAGTCTCTTTACTCAGATCAGCCTCCAGAGAGCATGGTACACACAGAACCCTCCACCCTCACCATGCTGCTTTCTGAGCCTGACCTGTGACAGCAGCTTCCTACGGCTGTGCTGGCCCCCTGTGCTCCCCAGGATGCCTCTGAAAACCTCACTCTAAATTTCAGGGTTTATGCAGATCAATCTATTCACAAGCCAAATTGTGCTCCTATTCCAGGCTGCTGTAGATGCATGTGGTGAGACTTTGAGGGGAACAAGACACAGGTGACAGCTGACTTCAGCTCCACTTGGTCTCTGTGTTATTTTCTAGGTTGAGGTCAAAGAGCTGTCTCTTCCCTTGTTGCTTGTACTGTGCACAGATTAAGGACCTTTATTACCTATTAATAACTAAAAAAAATAGTGATGTCTTCACATGAGCAGAGTAAAAGATTTTTTTAAAAATTAAAGAATCTTGAAAAATTAAAGAATTTGGTTTTTGTTGGCAATTATAAAATCCAAAATAAATACAAAAATGTCAGCAAAAAGATTTCCAGTACATCAGTCTTCTCTTTTAAGGAGGCCTTGCTCATTCCACGCATTACGGATGTTTAAATGAAAGGTTACACACAGGGTCATCAACAAGGCTCACAATGCCTCCAGCCTCACAATACACTCCACTTCAAAGGGATTGGCTGCATTCCTGAGCCTTGTACCAATAAGCACTAATAACACTGAAAAATGAAAACTGAACCAGATGTCTCCAATAGCATTGATTCTTATTAGCTGTTCACAGCTATTCTTACACCTCTGGGCATAACGAGGCAGAGCCACGTTGGGTGTGTGGCTCTTGAGCCGGTAATGCCATTGGAATGCTCTCACGCTGCTGTGAGCTGCATTCTTGACAGACTGTCTCCATTATGATCTTAAAAAAAAACTTCTTTAAAATGTCATTTAAAAATGCATCAAATATGTAAACTCTTACTCAATCAGGATAGGATTTGACAGTAGCATGTACTTAAAATTAACTGAAGAAAGTGACCAAATGGACAGCAGAAGTGATCCATACATTTATCTGTGCCTTGCTGCTGATCCCAAAGCAGTTGAGGCCACCCAGACTGAGTTTAGGGCAGGTCTGTGGCAAGAGAAGAGAAGAATGACAATCAATAGTAAAAAAAAGTATGCTGCTATGCTGTAAATACCCCAAGCAGACAAGTAACAGCCATAAGCTCTTTATACAATCTGCTCAGTGAACAGAAGTGAAACTGCTTTGGTAAAACCCAAAAGGGCAATGAGTATCTGCATCCTTGTCCAGAAAACCAGAGCCTCTTTGGGTTTGCAGAACTCACTTATCTGCCTCTTTTTCTAGTACACTCTTGTTCTTGGACATCATCTTTCTGCTTAGGAAAAAGGGCAGCCCTGACAGACAGGGAGGCCAGAGGGAACAGATTTTAAAATCATTTAGTTCACATACCACGAAGATTGCTCCTGCTGCAGAAGTAGATAATAATTTTATTCTGAAGGTTGGTAGTTCAAGAACACCTTTCAGAGTGCACCGGCAACCTGTGTGACAACAGGAAAGGGAGAGATAGGTAAGGAGAGATGCTGTGAAAGGGGAGATGCTGATGTAAGCAGAGCTGAAACAGCTGATAAATTCTGTGTCCTTTCAGCTGCCAATCCAAAATATTTTCTGTCACTAAAGGCTACCCAGTGAGGTGGATCCAGATGCTTCATCCAGATGAAGTTTAAAATTCAGGAATTTCAATTACGCATCTGGTTAGTAAGAAAGCAGTAATAAAAGAATAATTTCTTATTAATAACCGAAGAATCTCTTCTCCTTGGTTAATGTAGAAGTTGCTGGTGCAGGTAGCATGAAGATCTTTGATACTAAAGAGACCCAGTCCCCACACTACAACTTGAAGACCATGAGCCCAAATCCTGCCACTGCTGCTTCCAAAGCAATGCTGAGATACAGCTTAAATTAGCAGAGAGTGCCATGATTGCTGAACTGGCCAGGACTTTAAACCTCTTGGCTGAGGAACAAGAACTCCAATAAAAACTTTCTCTTGAATTTGATAAAATGGATCCCCTAGCACTCACTGAGTGCTGGGAGATGGGGACCATGTGCAGCTAATATGCCTTGTCCCCCCACCATGGTGGTGCCAGGAGGTCCTGTGCACCCTCCCCAACACCCCCGCCTGACTGGGCAGCATAAAGTTGTGTGTGTAATTACTTTCTTTGGAGCCAGAGCCAAAGGATTACCATGCAGGTTCTTTACCAGTTGGCCATTAAGCATTCTCATAATAAATCTAAACAAAAAAACACCCCAAAGACCCCATAAAAGCAGACAATGTAATTATTACCAAAGGGAAGGAAGACCAGAGAAGAAGAAAGCTAAAAAGTCTTCCATGGAGCAGCCGTCCACATTAATAGCACAGGCAAAAGCACAAGACCTTCTGCTTCAAGAGAAATTCATCCCCTGCTCTGCTTTCCCACTTCCCACTGCCAACTAATTCCAGAGTTATTCTAAAGGCTATGCAGTGATGAAAAGCACAGTAAAGGAGGAAGCAAGAATGTGTGCATCAAACAAAGAAGTTTCATAGAGCAGATATTTATTGTGTTCACTTGGATGCATTGATGCATAACAAGTGGAGAATCATTCAACTAATTGAATGGAGCTCAAGGTAGACAGACAAATTTAGGACTTAACCAGAAGTAAGAAATGCTGCAATGACTTGTAAAACATGTCTGTTGGATCTTGGCTTCAGCCATCCCCACTTTTGTTCTTAAAATCCATTCCATGAGTTCTGTATTGGGTAATAACCCAAATGAGATTATTTTACACATGACTATATTTAATTTGCAGTGAGGGGAACACCTTCGTTTGTTTTATGTCAACATGCCTGTTTAATTGGGCTTCTGATTATTTAATGTCACTGCTGAAAAGGTAGTTTTTATGAAGCACAAAAGAAAATTTAATGAAAATTATTCACAAGCCCAACTTCTGACTAGTAAAACCAAGAGCTTAATGCAAGACCTGAAGTCCCCATCTGCTGCTTCTCTGAAAAGAAGAGCCTACATGAAGGATTTATTGTGACATTACAATGCTTGATGTCAAATAATCTAGCCAGAGGAACAATATTGCCCTAAAGAGAGCCATCAGGCCCAGTGTGACATGGGTATTTGAAAGGATTAACTGCACTTAAATCAATATGGGCAATGAAAACAGAAATAACCAATCTCTTGGCCGCTCAATTATTTAAGACTGTCTTTAGTCCCCACAGAATGGAATTAAACGCTTGTTTAAGAGGACTGACAATTAAATCTATTTCTTTAATGTCAAGATAAGAACATGGGATCTGTGGCTGCAGTACAGAACCAGGAAGTGGCATCTCCCAGAGAGGAACATGTGAAAAGGAGATGTTGGGTGTGACTGGCAAGGGGCTTTCCCGGGGAGGGAACCCAGCTGCCCCTGCCGACACAGCCACTCTGTGCTGCACACTGCCTGAGAATCACAGAATCACAGAAGGGATCAGGCTGGAAGGCACCACAGTGGGTCATCTGGTCCAACCTCCCTGGTCAGTCAGTGTCATCCTAGAGCACATGCTACAGGATTCAGTCCAGATGGTTCTGGAATATCTCCAGAGAGGGAGACCAAATAACCTCTCTGGTCTCTGTTCCAATCACTCCTCTTGGAGAGAAGTTCTTTCTTGTGTTCAGGTGGAATGTCTGTGCATCAGTTTCTGTCCATTGCCTCTTCTCACTGCTCAGCACCATCAAGAAGAGCCTGAATGGCTCTTAGCATCCTCCTTCTTGGCATCCTCACTTCAGACACTGATGAGTTCCCCGCTCAGTCATTCTTCTCCAGGCTGAACAGGCCAACTCCACTTTTCAATAAGAGAGATGCTTCTGTCCCTTAATCAAACCTGGGGCCCTCTGCTGTATCTGCTCTGGGAGCTCCCTGTTTGCCTCGCACTGAGGAGCCCAGACCTGGTCACAGCACTCCAGGTGTGGTCTCACAGGGCTGAGGAGAGCAGCAGGATCACCCTGTTGGTGTCCCCAGCCACGGCAGTGTCCGTGGCTGCTGCCAGCCCATGCCCCAGGCGGCCGCTGAGGCAGCACGGGGCAGGGGCACACAGCAGGTCCTTGCAGTGCTGGCCAGGTGGGACCACACACACACACCCCAAGTCCTGCACCAGGGCCCCTGGCCACACCTGGGAGCTCCTAGGAAAGGCTGCATCCACAGACAGCTCCTTGGCTGTCATCTTCCCTTCCTAGTGCTATGCTTTAGGAGTATAAAATGCAGGCTTTAAAATTCACAGACGACTAATAACTGAGTGTTATTGCAGCTGACAGCACAAATGTAAGATCATTTAATTGAAGCGGACTGACAATTTCCCAGTTATTTGACTTCTGAAAACTTTGTCAGACCTATCCCAATATTGTTTTTAAGACCTTTTAAAAATGTTTTACAGAGCAACCACTGTGACCTTTCCTGCTGATACTATTTCTCCTGAGGTGTTTGTTCATCTCAAATGCAATGAAAAAATTCCTGGTGTGAAAACTTTTAATAAGAAGTTGTATTTTCAGATGATAAAAAGGAGATCACAGAGCAGGATGTATGCAAAGCACGGAATGTTCAACCATCATATTGCAGATACCCTAGGCTACAGGGAAATATCAGATGCCTGCATGTGGTCAGTTAGAGTTCCTGGCCTGAAAAACTGAGAGATGTTCTTCAATTGGAGACAGCCCATTGCACCAGAAATTTGAGGAAAATAAGTAGTTCTAGTCACTCTTGTCAGTCATGAATTTCAGTTTTTCCAAGGCTTCTGTGAGAGGCAGGACAGATAAAAAGTCTGATTTTTGATTTTTAGGCTGCTTTAAAACACAGCAAGTCTCTGCAGAAGCTCTTCTCTGCTTGGTAACCAACATATCACAGTAATTCTAAATGTGCCATAAGGACTTCTTTCTGTCATTGAGCTCCTAGTCATGATAGAAAAGCCCTTCCTAGATCTTCTGCCCCTTTTATGTATTTTTATCTCTCCATTAAAATATAATTTGATATTAATTCCTTTCAGCCAGGAAAAAAAGGTGCTGTCCAGAAAAGCTGATACTTTGCTAAGTACTTTTTAAAAAACAATTTGTGAAAATGTATTGCAGAAAATCATTACTCATAATCTTTGTCTTGACAATTATAAGCATAATAGCTTGGGGGTATTGTTGATTAATGATTTCTGTTTCCTCTGATGTTCTTGTCCTAACTTGTCCACATTTCGGAGTCATAGACTAAGGCATAAAACAAACAAAAAAAAACCCAAAACCCAAAAAAACCCAAAAAAAACAAAAAAAAAAAAAACCCAAAACAAAAAAATACCCAAAACCAACCAACCCAAAAAAACCCAAAACAGTTGCCACTTTGTAATCAGAGACATAGATTAAAATCAGTAGATTTTATGATTTATATGTATCCTGACAGCTTTGCATACAGTTCTCAACTTTATCATTTGCCATTGATCCAACAGCTGCAATGCTGAGCCTTGCATTCTGCACAACTGGTTTCGTTGTCACCTCACTAGTTATTTTCATGCCCTTATTCTTCTGATCATCACAAAATTATTTATTTCCTCACCTCCTGCATCAGTATTACAGAGTTGTTCATTCTTCTTTAAAGCATTTGGATCACTTTGTCCTTTCTGTACGCTTCACGCGTTTCATGGCAGTTCCACCACGGCTGGGCACACATCTTTCAGCCACACATGAAGCCCTCTAAGCTGCAGTTATACTGATGCTAGCACTATTATTAGCTGCCCTGATCTGCTGACAGTTTTGATATAAGACCATTCACAATAAGCAAAGATCACACAGATCTACAGAACATCAGGTATCAATCAGCTGATGCGGGCCCACATGGTCAGAACAGTCACAACCCACCTGCAGCCGAAGCACTGCTGCTGCTCTGCTGCTCTGCTAGCCACAGGTGCGTATTTGCCATCGCAGCCTGTGCCTGCAGTCACAGGCAGGCACGAGGAGAATGCAAGGGACTGCCTGCAGAGCTGAACGCTCTTCCCGAGCCACAGTGAAGGGCAGACACAGCCCGCCAGGGAAAGGACGCTCTGCTGTGGGCATCTGCTTTGCACCAGCACGTTCAGGTGCCTAGGTGAGAGCTGCAGTGTCCCTTTTCCAATCCCTTGGAAACAGTTCAATAAACCTCATGGTCACATGGACTGTTTTATGTCATATAATGTCAAGGTACTGACAGTCATGCTTGGTAAGATTTGCATTAAACTATGTGTTTCTACAGGTTAGAGGCAGAAAAGGCAGATTTGACTTATTTGTGGGTTTCAGAATATCATAATTCAGAACTAAGGCAGAATTTCAGAGGAGCGATTTTTTTTTTCTCCAGCATGGACTTATTCTATGAATTCAAATTTGGAGCATTCTTTCCCTACTAGCTTTCTTCTACAGCACCTGAAGCATTTGGATTTTGAATATTTGTGACAGTCCTGACATGATGTTAGAGCCCGTGAAGCTGAGAATGAGCTAGTTCAGCCAAAAA